AGGTGGCAGCCGTGGGAAGAGAAACAGAAGAACCAGTTTGAGACAGAATTTGGCACCTGAGTGGATATAGGGAGCAAGGCAGGCAGGGGGTGCTTTTGGAGGCTTTCCTAAGCACTGATGGGTGTGACTGCCACCAGGAGTTGGGGGTGTGTGGTTGGCTGGGAAGGCAGTGACGCTTGTGCCTTCTGGACACAGGTGTCCTTTCAGGGAGCTGTGACTGTCTTCCCTGGCCCCCTTCATTGCCTGAGCAGTCAGTTGGCTTGCTTCTCTTTCCCCTTTGTGGCGTAACATACAGGGTAGCAAGAAGTAGTTAGAATCTTGGTGTCATTGGGAGACACCTTATCAAAGCTGCTGTCAAAGCCACTGGCTTATGAATGTTGCTGTGTGATAGCCCGTACTCAGTGGTGACCAGCTAGACCCTCTGTGATGGTGTTTACACCTGTGTGACCATCCCGCAATACAGGGTGGAGCATTTGGAACATTCCCATCACCCCAGAAAGTTCCCTTCTGCCCCTTCCCTGCCACGGGCAGTGCTTGGTACTGATTTCTATCACCATAGGTTGATTTGGCCTTGAACTTTGTATGCATGTAATAATAGTGTATTCTTTTTTGTTTGGCTTTCTTCACCTAGAATGATAGGTGTCCACATTGTTGGTGCCTCAGTGGGTTGTCCCTCTTTGTTGCTGCGTGGCATTTCACTGTGCATTCCTACCAGGATCTGATTGTCCAGTCACCTGTCGATGGGCATTTGAGTTATTTCTAGTTTGGGGCTATGATAAGTAAGGTTGCAATGAAAATTCATGTGTAAGTCTTTTTGTGAATGTAGTCATTTTTCATGGGTCTTTACCTAGGAATAGAACTGCTGGGCCATCGGTTAGACATGTAACTTAATAAGGAACTGTCAGTTTTCCAAAGTGAATGTAAGTATTCATACATGAGGGGTTTTCAAAAAGTTCATGGAAAGATTTGTATTATCTTTTTTTTTTTTTTTTGTCTTTTTCCGTGTCCGGCAACGGATCGCAACCCTCA